TAGTGCTTCAAAAAACATACATACATAGGCTGTTAAACACATTATCACTCCTTTGCGTCACGCAGTAGGGTAAAAAAGGAAAGACTAGACCAGTCTAAAAGAAACGTTAACCTATTAAATAATTAAAATCTTACTTTTGTCTAAGAAAATAGGCTTTCAAGAATATTAAAGCTTCAAATTCGAGACTCGAGAATTCTCGAGCTCCGGTAATTTTTTTCTCGTCTCGAATGAAGCCAAATTTCTCGAGTTTTCTCGAGTTCGAGAAAGCTCGAGCAGAAACCCTAGTAACAAAATTAGTTACTTGAAATTCTCTCTCGATATCTCATTTACAATTAATTCATGTATCAAGAAACTTGCCTCGGGTAGCGGTTTGAAATTAGTGTCAATATGATATCCACCAATGGGTTTGTAGTTCTGCGGCAGCCTGGTGGCCTGGCCCAAGGATACGTGCGAGTTGCCCAAAACCAGCGACACGTTGTACCTCACTTCTTCGTATGTGAGGACAGGACGGCCCTTCTTCTTAAGAAGAGGCACGTACAATTCGTCGTACGCTGCTTGCTCGTAATATCTGACTAAGACCCTAAAAAGTACATTGTAAGACATGATGAGAGAAGCTTAACAATATTCAGAACTAGCGGCCGCCCGCGACTTCGTACGCGTGGACCCCTTTTACCACCTTCATCATCATCATTAACATCTCAGCCATAGGATGTCCACTGCTGAACATAGGCCTCCCCCAAATGCCCCCAATGCTTTCCACCACGTTTACCCCCTTAGGGGTTGAATTTTGCAAAATCCCGTCTTAGTGAGCACCTACGTTCTAAAAGGACCCCAATTCAAAATTATAGACTCCTAGCACTTGCAGTTTCATAGATTTCGTGATAAGTGAGTGAGTCAGTCATCTTTCGCTTTTTTTTACTTACACATCTTTCAACACAACATTTGCGACGGACAGTAACAATTCCTTCGCGCGCTCCACAAAGTTGTATGGAGGAATAGTAGTGGAGAATAGGCCAGGGTTGTAAGCTGGGTTCAAACTGTCGTCGATCAATGACAGGATTGTGGAGTGAGGCTCAACAGTTGATACCCAGATGAAGGGACAGCCGTAGAAAGCCGCGAGCCTGAAAATAGTAAGAGGTTTTGTTGAGTACAAAATAGCAACTTGATAGGTAGTAGGTACTAGGTAGGTATATTATGTACTGTAGAATCATTGTGTTCTGGTTCACTGGTTCCCAGTTTTGTTAGGAAATGGAGGTATGAATCAATCGTTATTTCCGAATAAAAGTAAAAGTAGAGTTTAAGGCATGATTGAGCAAATGTAGATCTAGTTATAGAAGATTCAATTCTCACATAAGGTATAAAGACGAAGCTCATCAGAATAGCGCATATTACAACTATACAGGGTGTTGTTCCAAAAGTAGTGTTGAAGAGAGTTTTAAGAGATGAGAAAATCTTAACTCGAAATATATCAAAAATGGCGGAACAAATATAGGGTGATTCAGGGTGCTCTACCTCTGGGCTTCTGTATAAGATGTGCCAGTGTTTAGTGTGTCGTAATCTGTACACTCACCCAGTGTAGAGTTCGCACACCATCCACTCAGCCACCACCACGTCGAAGGTCTGTTGAGGATCATTCAGTATCTTCTGCATGTTCTCATTCTGTATAGCCCTCTGATGCGTCCCAATGGTGAAATCGAAGAATTTGTTCGGATCAAACGCGCTCTGCTCCTTGTTCAATATGTCCTTGAGGTTCATCTCTGTTGGGAAAAAACATGGAAACTTAAAAAGTCGTAAAACCGGGTCTCCAGCGCGTGTTTTGCCCTACACAATCAACAAGAACATCTCAACATTCAACATTTTTTGTAGGCAATTTTGTTGATTGTTGTGAAGGGTAAAATACACGCTGGATACCCGGCTCAATATCCTGTTCTTGTCTAACAACATTTTGATAAGCCTTGGTGGTGAGGTGACTAAAGATAAGATATTACTAGTTAATCCGACAACTATTCTTAAGTAGAACAATTAGTCATTTTATACAAATTAGGCAATCGCAAACGGAATAATACCAGTAAGCAACGGAAAGGGTATACAGGAATTCGTACAAAGGTTCCGAAATTGAGCCACTATGCGGCGTATGATTGTGCCCGCCATAAGGGTAGCCTTATGGCGGGCAGAATATGACCTTATAAAGATTACAGGAAGATTAATAAGAAGGTAAAATAATTACTAGGCATGGCTGCATCGTCGACTGAGACATCTATCTGCTTCAACTTCGGATTCTTGCTGTCTTTCGGGAAAGGAGTGACGTAAGTGACCTGAAATTTTAACAATTGTTTTTCAAAGTAACTACGAGTAAGTAACAGACGACATCAATGTGCATCTGTGGCAGCGTTGCCAGACGTCCCGATTTTGGCGGGACGTCCCGATTTTTAAATCAAATTTAAATGTCCCGCGCGGGACAGGCTCGGTCCCGCTTTTCGGAGAGAGACACTCACTTCACCAGACTATTGTTTGAAACGCCATATTATTCTAAAGAATATTTTTTTTATTCTAAAGACGAATTTAACGATAGAGTAAATCTAATTTAAAATATTATTTTTTTGTTAAAATACATTTTCTATGGCTACTTTTGCTATCTATTGTCACGTAAACGTAATTTTAAGTCAAATAAAAAGATAAATAATTAAAAACCTTTGAGTAGGTATATACGTTTTTTTACTATGTCCCGCTTCTGACGGAAGAATCCCGCTATTTTCACTCAAAAAGTACCTAAGTCCCGACTTGGCGAAAAAAAAAAACTGGCAACGCTGATCTGTGGTAATAGATAACATAGTCAGATTTTCTGGCAAATGTACCAGATCCCATGATTCGTCATAGTAATCATCATTTTCAGCCATGGGACGTCCACTGCTGAACATAGGCTTCCCCCAATGATTTCCACAATGGCCGTCAGTGTCAGTAATTTATGAAGTTTGGACCCACGGTTATGGGATGAAAAATCTGCTGTTCTATACGAGTACAAGAAGTTTATATGGATTCAACCAAAATGTTAGAGGATATCCACGTCATCCAAATGAGTAAAGAAATGTGGCCTGCTTCCAAGTGCCTTCACAAGGTTGTCAGTCTACCGAGTTGGAGACCTGTTTATTATAATAGGATTTATTATTATCATAAGCAAAAACCTCATGTCCAGCATTCAGCAGATGCCGCACCACGCCATCTCCCAGGATGCCGTGGCTCGGGCCTGGTAGAGGGAACACCACCAGGATTTTGTACGCCTCGCTGATACTCAAGCATAGAGCTGCACTTAGCAGGAATTTTCCTAAAAGATTCATTATCTGAAAAAGATTAAGAAAACTTGTGTGAAGATCGACTAGATCGTTCCATCGGAGTAAATACAAATGAGTAGGTGATCTTCATAGAAACGCACGGGCGCGGTTTGTATGTGAGCGCACCAATAGGTACGTATGCGGCGCGCACGCACACACTGACAAAATTTAGCGGGGATTAGCGGGGAGCCAGTCGTGGTTGCGCTGAATTTTGTCAGTGTGTGCGTGCGCGCCACATACGTATATTGGCGCGTTCACATACAAACCGCGCTCGGTGCGGTTCTATGAAAATGACCTATCCATTTGTATTTACTCTGGTTCCATTCACGAAGACGCGCCTAAATTATCCATGGTGCACACGCACACTTGGATTGCTCGGATCAAACTCCCCGCACCTCGCGCTTTCCTCGACCAAAAATTGCTGGGGCGCGTCTTCGTGGATGAAACGATCTGTACTAGGATGGTCGTACCCATGGGGCAGAGAAGGGCAGCTGCCCCTGGAAATCTCTCAGAAAATGTATGAACCCGCCTAATCATTAATTAAAGTGTAAACGGGGCCTTTTGAATAAACCACATATAGTAACTATTCATAAGAATGAGTTTATTAGCTATCCAATTGTTCTCGATTGCATCTGTATAGAAACACCCACCCACGTGAACGCAGGCTCTGTAATAGTCAACTGACGAAAGAATGATTGTATCAAATGAAATAAATAATGGATGAGTAACTATATCGATGAACTTATCAAAATTTTTGCGAATAGTATACAAGATAAAATTCGCGCATTCAGATTTCATAGAAGTTATTTTTCCCACATAGGTAAGTACGAGTTATTTTATAATACCGACCGGCCTTTGACCGAGACCTTGAGCGATGTAAAGTCGAGGAAAATGATGATGACATCAAATGACAATATTTGTTTCTCAATTTGCCCTATTCAAAGTAGGTACGCGTCGATGCCTTATGCGGTTGTTAGCAACAATATTAAAATTATCTATCTTCTTTATTCTATATTTTTACTGTTTACTTAATCACTACACTTAAAAAATAAAGAAAAAAAAACATGTAAACGTACTCTACATCCTTATAAAATTATAGCAACTAAAAAAAAAAGAAAACAATGAAGCCAAAAGGGGTAAGATTATACCTAAAATGTAATTAGGCCTAACTATTGTAGCTATGCATTAGGAGGATAACCTACTACTTAGGTACATTTAAGTTACACCTGTAGGACGACGAGTAAGAACTGTATGAATCCCATTAATGTATTAAAAAGACCCATGATGTACTTTGTACCAAAATGATGCAATAAAACATTATGAATTACTTACTAAAAAGTAACCTACGCTTAATAAATTTTAATAGCAACTAACTTACATAAATACAAAACACGACGCGTTGATGAGAATACTTTGTTTTACATAATAATCCTAAAATATCATCACTTCACACTTCAACACAATCGACACCCAACAAACATTAGTCACAATCCTTTATTACCGATTCTTTTTGAACTTTTTTAATCAAAGTTACTGATAACCAAATTCTTATCACGACAGCTGTGAACACGCGTGTTTTGTACACCACGCACAGCAACGCACTATCTACTAAAGATATAAACCTTGATTGCTATGATTGTCTGATTGTACCGTAGCAAGGTTACGGCACGTTACGGCGAGTCAACCAACGTAAATTCCCCATAATTGAAGTTAAACTACGATTCAAACGAAAATTTGACAATCTACCAGTTTTAAAGATAACATTTAGCTACAAGGTTTTATGTGACTACACTTTCAGATTGCTGAACAAAGTACGTATCTATGATAGATAAAAACATAATAATAATATAGGTACTTACAGTTAATGTGTAGATATTATTGTTCAATTGTAAAATTGGTCTAGTGTGTCCTAGTCAGTTTAGGTATTTCTTTATCTAAATTAGCTTGTTTTTAAAGATATACGACGATATACATACGACAAAATACCGCTACGGTTTGGGAAAGACATATTTTTCACGTGAAACATTAGTCTTCAAGTTAAAAACTCACACACTCCTAAAAATATTTCTTCCATGCAGTTTGACACACTGTTGTGCGTCAACGACTAGGTCGCGGGTTCGATAACCGCAATTTACATTTACAAATATTTTTATCTATGTATAAATGTAAGTAATAGTAATAAGTATTCGGGACTAAATGGCGCAGTGTAAATGTCCATCATATTTTATTTAAAAATTTTCAATTTACATGTTTTACAAAAACATTAATATGTTTTTTACATCTTTCGTCATAATCCTTCTCACTTGTTAGCTACATAGATAGGCAGCAACTGAGAACTCGCAGAGAATGCCCAAAAAACTCGCAGAGAATGCATTAAGTTCTACTTAAGTACCAATTCTATGACAATAAAGATAAATTCTATGAAAATAAAATATACAGATTTCAATAAATTGCCCCATCTTTACTGAAACTCAAGGGATAGGACATCTCATTTATCATTATCATTCATTATTTCATCAATTGAAAATTATTCATTCATACTTGAATATTTTTTTTATACATAAATAATTTTTATACCTGAAATTGACTATTAATTGTCTATTAAAACTGACTATTTAATATTAATTGTGCAAACTGCACGAAGAATGCACAAAAAAAAACTACTCCAGACGGCGCTATGCTCGCTCGCGCAGTGGTCCTATGCTTGGTGTGCGCGGGCGCAAGTGCGCTGCGTCTGCTGTTGGTGTTCCCGGTACCGGGGCCCAGCCACGCCATCCTGGCTGGGGGGCTCAGCAAGCACTTGATTGGGGCTGGACATGAGGTTAGATTGGTTTATTAAATTTTATTATGAAGAGTCGCATCTCAATCTAAATTTTAAGTAACTTGAAAAATCAAATACTTACCCCTTTACAAGTGGAGTGGAGGCCACGTGGCCAAGTGGAGGCGTGAGACGTCCACCGGGTACACTCCACCCAAAAGGTGGACCAACGACCTTATAAAGGTAGCAGGAAGGTGCTGGATGCAGGCCGCTACCAACCGGGCGATATAAAAATCTTTGGGGGAAGAGGCCTATGTTCAGCAGTGGACATCCTGTGGCTAAAAGCCTGATATAATCACGATGATTACAAGTAGCACTTTTTAATCGCTCCGAAAATCAATTTCCTTCACGGAGGGAGTGATGTAACTCCATCTTTCGAAACCTCAACTGTCAAGTTTTGCCACTTGTAAGGAGGCTGGGCAGGTCAATGTAATATCGCGATGATTTAAATTTCAGAATTTGAGACTTCAGAGTCTCTTCGCTCTGGAGTTTGAAATTACCCTTTTCAGTGCACTTTATGACACGTTTTGATATAGCTTGCCCTACTACCACTCGACATCAACATCTACTTTTATCGGCGGGTGCTGAAAAGGGTGAAGAAACTCGGTCAATGAACAATATTGAAAAGTTGAATGTGATTTAATTTTTCAGTATTGTGCAGTTAAAAGTTTTGAATATTCATTCAAGAATTTTTAACTAAATCTTTAAAAAAATCATTTTATGATAAAACTTACTATAACTTACTTATTTAATTTTACCATACATACTGGTACCTACCTACCTTGAGCAAAAAAATCGTGCACAGTTTTCATTTCACGACCATGTTTATGCTCGCGGACCCACGATAAATCTAATAAAATCATTGGAAAATACACGACGGCACGCCTAAAGGTTCAGCACTAGTATTATATTATCTGTGGTTCAGCCAAACCAACGAGATCAGCCGGCGTGCAGCGATGGCGATCAGACTTTAAAAAAAAGCATTGATCGCCATCGCTGCACGCCGGCTGATCGCGTGTGATCGCGTTGGTTTGGCCGAACCTTTAAAAGTATTCACCGCCATTGCTGCACGCCGGCTGATCGCGTTGGTTTGGGTGAACCTTAAGTCCTAAGCAAAGCTTGTACTCGTACTAAAGCTTGGTCCGTGAGCACGTAGAATCCCGTCCATTGACCCCAAGCTACCCATCCTTATCGCTCGCGCGTAGTCATATTGCTGTCGCGACTGTGCGACGCGCGCCCGCAGTGAGTGTGCGAGCGCGACAGCAACATAATTACGTGCGAGCGACAAGGATGGGCAGCTTGGGGTCATTGGACGGGATTCTACGTGCTCACGGACCAGGCTTTATAAGTAGGCACCTACCGATTAATAAATTGGTAATAAGGCGAATTGAATGATATAAGGCATTCTCTGCCAGTTAACCTTCGAGCTTTGAGTTTAATGCTGTACCGCACACGAGCAGTAATTATATATATATTTAGATTAGGTACCAATTATTTAATTTAAATATTTTAAGGTGAAATACATAAATATTGTTATTAGATACGTATTTTCAGATCACATGCATCACCCCGCTCCCAAGCAAAACCACCTCGAAGAGCCTCCGTCAAGTCGATGTTTCAACAAACTTCCAACTCGTCCCATTTGGTAATTATATTCATATTTATGCTTTTTTCTCTTATCCAAATTGGTCATAAATTGCTATGTAGGTACAGTCAGCGTCGTGACACCCACAGAGGCCAAAAAGTTGATAATACAACCTTATACCATTAGTAACAAAGACGTTGCGAACTTTTTGGCTACTTTGGGTGTCACGAACTTTTTGACGCTGATTATACCTACTTATGTACAGCAACAGCAACAATATAACTATTACGTTTTTTTGCACAATAGTTGTAGTACCTTGGTATTGCAGTTAGGTACCTACCACACAAGTTGCCACGTTTTTTTGCTTGATGTGATATCGTCAGAGACTTATGAGAAACTACTGATGACGCATTGCTGTTGTTTTTCAGGAGATGTCCTTCAACTCAAGAAGATAATGTCAAAGGAAATAAATATGAAAGATTTGGCGTTCATAAAATCGCTGATGATTTCTCTCGCCAATGCCACTCTGACCAATCCAAACGTCAAGAGGCTGATGGAAGACCCGGCTGAACGCTTCGACGCTGTCATTGCTGAGTGGATGTACACTGAACTTTTCGCTGGGTAACTCCTGCTCCTACTAATATGACAAACTAGCTGCCGCCCGCGACTTCGTATGCGGGACTCTGCTTTGCCCCCTTAGAGGTTGAATTTTGCAAAATCCCGCCTTAGTGAGCACCTACGTTCTAAAAGGAACCCCCATGCAATTTGAGGCTCCTAGCACTTCTAGTTTCTGAGTAACGCAGCGCAAATGAAAATGTAAGAGAAGTTGCTTATAAAAGTTTTACCAATCTGCAGATAGTTTTAGCCTATAACCACAGAATACATGCTATAATTACTGCAACCTTTAAAATGATGACATCACATGTAGGTTAATATCGCTCTAACACCTTTAGTTCAGTATATTCACATCCATTTAATTAGTTAAGAAAGTGGTTAATCCTTTACCTTTAACTCAGTAAGTAAGTAGGTATTTTAAATCCTTAATTCAATGACACGATAGCCAAACGGTGAAGGGGTCGGACTGGCCGACTCGTGATCCGGGGATCGCGGGTTCGGTACTTCGGTCCCCGCCGCTGCTCGACTATTGAGGTGAGCTCACTCGTGCACAGAAGCATGCTAATTTTTGTAATAACAAATTACTATTAAATCTTTTCAAAAAATGATTGCAGATTCGCAGCCGTCTTCAACTGCCCCCTAATCTGGTTTTCCTCCATGGACCCCCAAGCTCTGGTCCTTCGTCTGATCGACGGGACCCCCAGCCCGGCATACTTCGCCGACCCAATGTCTGCAGAACACCCTCCTTTTGACTTCGGGCAGAGAATAAATGGACTCTGGCTTCTTTTTCGAAGGATGAAGCTGGAATGGTAAGGAAATACTTTACTCTCTTACTAGCGGCCGTCCGCGACTTCGTACGCGTGGATCCCGTTTTATCCCCTTAGAGGTGGAGATTCGTAAAATCCGTTCTTAGTGAGCACCTACGCTCTAAAAGGAACCTCCGTGCATTTGAGACTCCTAGCACTTGTAGTTTCTGAAATTTGAGTGAGTTAGTCAGTGACCTTTCGCTTTTAGCATAGCAATTAGCGTCTTAAATCACGTGTTCTTTTGCTTACTTAATAAGACTGGAAGTGATTTGCAAAGGTTTTCTTTATATAACGTTGCAACACAGATCTCTATTATAGTGGACATGGTGAAACCATTTGCGCCATGTTTAATGACTACTTTCAATCGGCATTTGAACCCAGAACTTGTGGCTTGACTTCATCCACTCTTTTGGAGAGTCAGGGTGCAGTATCCGTTGGCTCCATTGAGCTCTCTCCCGAGCTTGTCGAGAAGTACTTGAAAGGGCTAGATATAAATAAGGGTAGTGGCCCGGATAATTTGCCTCCTTTCTTCCTTAGAATGTGTCATCGCTACCTTGCTCTTCCGATTTATTTACTTTTTGACTTATCGTTAAAAACGGGTGAAATGCCTAGTAGATGGAAGCAGTCCTTTGTCGTTCCTGTCTTTAAATCCGGCAATAAACATAATATTCAGGATTATAGGCCAATCTCTAAATTATGTACAATTGCCAAATTGTTTGAGAAAATTATTTATGACGCCATATTTCCGAGTCTGAGGCCCATCCTCGCCGACCAGCAGCATGGGTTTATTAACAAGAGGTCTACTGAGTCGAACCTTTGCGAGTTGGTTCATTTCGTTGCAAAGTCAATGGATCAGGGATTTCAGGTGGATGTCGTGTATACCGACTATTCTAAGGCATTTGATAAAATCTCACACCCTATTTTAATCCGTAAGCTTGGTTTAGTCGGTATACACGGTGACCTTCTTCGTTGGATCACCTCATATTTACGTGATCGATCTCAGGCTGTTACTGTCAAGGGTCATGTGTCATCATTTGTGCCGGTCTCCTCGGGAGTGCCACAGGGTTCTCATCTCGGTCCATTACTGTTCAACGTATTTATAAATGACATCGTTCATATTTTTAGCAATAGTAACGTATTAATATATGCTGATGATATGAAAATCTTTAGGAGAGTTAAATCTATAACTGATTGCTTGCTTTTACAAAATGATCTTGAAGCTTTGTCTCGGTATTGTTTAAGCAATTGTCTTAACCTGAATATTAAGAAATGCAATGTCATTACTTTCACGCGGAAGAAAAGTCCCATCGTTTTTGATTACTCAGTGAACGACAATATAATCAAGCGCGTGAATGAAGTGAGGGATTTGGGTGTTTACCTCGATGCTAAGATGTCCTTTTGTTGCCATTTGGATGCTATATCGGCCAAGGCTTATCGTATGCTGGGATTTGTTTTGAGAACTGGAAAGGAATTTAAGAATTGTTCTACGCTTGTTCTGCTGTTTAATTCTTATGTGCGTTCTATTTTGGAATATGGATCTGCAGTTTGGAATCCTCACTATCAGAAATATATCAATATGTTGGATCGTATCCGAAATAAATTTATTAAACACCTTCATTTTAGATGTTCTAACAGAGGTACTTGTTCTCACATGGAATCTGTACCCTCACTCACTGACCGTCGCATTGAAAGAGACCAGATATTCCTATTCAAATTGCTGCACAATTTAATTGACTCTCCTTATCTTTTAAGTGAAATATATCTCCGTTGCCCCCGGCTTAGTGCCCGTAATAGGTGTCTTTTTGATGTGCCCCTTTGTAGGACTAATTATGCTTTCAACACCTTTCTGCCTCGCGCTTGCCGTTGCTACAACAAACAATTCCAAGAATTAGACATACTTGGGTCTAATTTAAGTAAGTTTAAAAAACAAATCCGGGATTTGTCTTGTGGCAACTAAATTGCGAGCGTCGGGTGATGTTTGCAGTTCGCTCCTTTATTAATTAGGTAGTTGATACTTTTTCTTTTGTCACTTTGTTTACTTTTTTTTATATAAGTTTATATTTTTCACAACAAAAATTTAGTCTTAATGGTTTGCCCAACTTTATGTGTATATTTAACTGTGGAAACTTAATTGGTTTATGTGTTTTCTCACTGCACCTAAGTTAAATTATATTGTAACTGTATGTTTCCCAAAAATAAATAAATAAATAAATAAATAAAATAGCTGCGTTTATGAGGTATCGAAGTTCTTTGATTTTACCCAAATGAGCTGACGATGACGTAGTCTGAAGTACTCGTATACAAACTACAGTTTATTTTGATTTAGTTATATGTACTCACCACAAACCAAACTAGGATCTATTGAACAAAATCGAAGATAATAATTAGAGTTTTGAATTTGTATTTCTTTTCGTTGTAGGTCTACAAGAAGCATTGAAGACTCAATTTACAACTCGGAGTATGGACCAGCAGCGGCCATAAGAGGTATCACCCTTCCCTCCCTGACGGTGATGAGGTACAACGCTTCCCTCATGCTGGGGAACTCCCACATATCCATGGGACAGTCCATCAGTCTGCCGCAAAACTATAAAGAAATACTGGGGTACCACATAGCGGATAAGGTGCAGCCGTTGCCTGATGTAAGAATGTAGGTTTTATTGCACCGATTGTTGAAAAAGTTTGGAACATACAGAGTGTGGCGTAAATAGTGGTCCAAAGCAAAAGGGTCGATACACTGTACACTGAGGTACCACATACCAGTATTTAAAAATTCAAACAGTAAAGGTAAAGTCAACCGTTTTGCTAGTAGTGAGTATTGAATTTCGAAACAAACTTGTTTATTTAAATTCAGTTTGTGAAAAAGTGATTGGAATACTTAGTTATACATAAATGTAATCAATATTGTAACGCAAAGTATGAATTAAAAAAAAAAACAATCTTGAATGTTTTTTTTTTATACTGGTATGTGGCACTTCAGTGTATGGACCGATTGGACCCCTTTGTTTCATATCTGACAATAGTAACTGAGTTTCTTGCGCTGCTTCTTCTCAGCACTAGCCCATATCTGTCCTGAAGCAGTGGTAGGGTTGGGAGTTGGGGTGCTCTTTGAAAGTCTACTTGCATAAATAAACGATTTAATTTGATTTGATACGTCTCGCGCAGTTATAATGCCTGTAATCATGTAATTTTACAGCACTTTTTAAACTTGAAGTTAAAATTTATCGACAAGCACACCTTAAAAATTATTAGGTGCCTAGGTCGTAGGTATTGGTAGGCCATAACTATTGGTTTTATCTTTCGCCTCTTATTTTAGAATATCAAAAAGATATTGGACGGTGCGAAACACGGCGTGATATATTTCAGCATGGGGTCCATGCTAAAAAGCACAACGTTCCCCGAAGCGCTGAAGAGGGAACTTCTAGACATGTTCCGAGGCTTCAAACAGACTGTTCTCTGGAAATTCGAGGACGTACCACCAAAATTGCCTGTGAACGTCCATGTTGTGAAGTGGGCTCCACAGCAAGACGTTTTGGGTAAGATTATTGGTTTAATTACTTACTTTAATTTACTTAATTTTACGAGTAGATGTTGAATTTATCAATGAGTAGGCTAGGTTAGGTACTAACGTAGGTTCATATTTTAATTTAATTTGAATCGAACCTTTCACTTGCCGGGCGACTACTCTCACACTGAGCTACTCGTACTTACACATTGGGAGAAATTAGAGCTTATGTATTTAAAAATTACTTTGGGATGCGATTCCTCCTAACGCTAGAAAATTTTAAAAACTACTTATTATAATCAACCTTTTTCTTCAGCTCACCCCAATTGTGTGCTGTTCATCACCCACGGAGGTCTCCTGTCCATCACCGAGACCATACACCACGCGGTCCCCATCATAGGGATCCCGATGTTCGCAGACCAGTTCCTGAACATCAATCGCGCGGTCAGAAAGGGGTTCGGGATCAAGGTCAGCCTGGACTGGGATTTGACGAAGAATTTGAAGTCGGCTATTGAAGAAATACTGCGGAACTCTAGGTAAATAAGTGCCCTTTTCTAATGAAAACTGTCTGTCTGTAAACTACAAAACTACTGGACGGATTCTCATGCGGTTTTCATCAATAGATCTAAATGATTCATGGGGAAGGTTTGGTAATATAATTTGTCAAAGAGAAAAACAATATAGTTTTTATCCAGGTTTTTGAAAGAGGGACGTGCGCGATAGTCTTTCTGTGGCAGACCGTTCACGCAGTTGAAGCTACTATTATTGTTCAACCACACCGACTATGTATTCGTAGATTCGCGGCTTTTGTTTATTTTACTTTTAATTATTCGGGCCTTTCAAAATCTTCACCATCTTCACAGATTTATTAAAGTTGTCAATCTTTTTTCCAGCTACCAAGAGAAAGTGAAGGAGGTTTCATTTGTCTACCACCACCGACCAACGCCACCTGGTGCAGAACTAGTGCACTGGGTAGAACACGTGGTCAAAACCCGCGGGGCACTTCATCTGAGGTCTCCAGCACTGAACGTAGCGTTCTACCAGAAGATGTACCTAGATCTGGTAGCAGTAGTGGTGGTAGTTCTTGTAGTGGTAGTAAAAGTTGTAAAGAGTATTCTGAAGTTGAAGAAAGGAAGTGAGAAATCGAAGGAGAAACAGAGATGATTTAGGATTTAATTTACATAATTATAAGAGTTTTTTAACTATCTTAAGTAGTTCTGGGCCAAGAACAATCCAATTCTAAAAATATTAATCACTAACATGGTTGGTATAGAATTATAGGTAAATATTGTTAGACACGATGAAATAAAAAACGTTATTTTTTATATTTTGGTTTTTAATTAATTTAACATACTACTTATACCTATTTCTTTTTAATTTATTTATCTATATGATTTTTAACATGTTTTTGACCCTAGATTAACACCGTGATAGTGATTTTATAATAATCTATATTTTGAGTTACGCACAGTCATAATGACAACGTAAGAAATAACTTTTAATCTATCACGTAAGTTATTAATTAAAAATATATTTTATCATCATGCAAATTAGGTAAGTCATTAATTTTATTAAATGTATCAGTTGACGGAAGCTGGGGATACCGGGGAAAATAAATCCAACTATTTTCGCATGCAAGAGGACTCCCTAACTTTAGGCATCCGAGTCCGATGGCAATGGTGAAGTTTACAGTACAGAAAAGTTCTCGAGTGGCGACCACGAGCCGGAAGACGTAGTGTGGGCAGGCCTCCCACTAGGTGAACCGACGATCTGGTGAAGGTCGCGGGAGGTGCCTGGATGCGGGCGGCTCAGGACCGGTCTTTGTGGAAAACCTTGGGAGAGGCTTTTGTCCAACAGTGGACGTCATTCGGCTGAAACGAACGAACAGTAGGCCTACATTGAATGATATGAAGTTATCAAATTAAAATTATCATTTAAGTTTCGATTTGTATCACCTTCAGAAGAAAATAACTCGATTCTTTCATCTGTATTATGTTCGATAATCATCTGTATTGTTTGCATAAATATTTGACAAATGTAGGTACACAGGTGTTTTGTGAACCGACTATTAAATACAAATCATTTTAAATTGTCCAGTGTTGCTGTGTCACCCCGCTATCCTCTACACGAGAAGTCATTTATCATAATTAACGTAGTTAGTCAAGTAGGTACATGAACTGGCACTTTTTCAGTCAGTGTTCAGTCAGTGATCAGTGCAGATTCCGTTCCGAGATCGGTGTATTTATTTTAGTTTAAATAGCTATCAGAATGGTTAAACTAACAAATCTTTCGCTCCTTTTAATGCTAAGTTTTTCAAGTGCGTACAAAATACTAGTGGTGTTTCCGTACCCAGGCAAAAGCCATACAATCTTGGGTGAAGGATTTGTGAAACATCTCGTGAAGGCTGGACATGAGGTAAATTATCTAGACTTTGTTTTTAAGTATCAAGATGGTAATTTATTTGTACAATGATAATAATAAGAGAATTATGGAATATTTGTAGATTAAATAGAGGTAATATCTGAAGTAACGATCTATTTTTAAATGATAATAAAATAAATGCATTATCTGGCTGGGCATACAATGTTAGTATGTAGACATTCTAAAAGATATACTATAATGTATTATTTAATTTGTAGTGGAATATCAGAGTAAGTAACAACAATTTAACTTAGCTTAAAATGGCTTAGTTTTAGTATATTTTTTTTTCTTCAGATCACTTACATCACTCCAATACCGATAAAGAATCCACCTAAAGGCCTTCGGCAAATTGATGTATCAAGCAATAAAGAGATATTTGAAGTAATGTGTAAGTTTTATAATATCACAGAGTATAGAATAGTTATTAAATAAAAATTGTCGGGGTTCCTCTTGCTTCGTAGTTTTCGTGTTTAGAAAAGCAGTCACGCTTTGTCCAAAACTAAAAATAACTTGTTATTTCAGCACATGTATTGAGTTTTGAAATGGTGCTAAAAAAAGAAATCGATTTAACGGATATGAGATCATTGGTGAGAATCGTATATGACATAGCCAACCAAACATTATGGAACGACAACGTGCAGAAGTTGATGCATGACCCCAATGAAGAGTTTGACCTGGTGATCGCAGAGTGGCTGTATACGGAACTTTATTGTGGGTAAGGGCCTAATTAAGTCATCATGGAAATGTATAATATTGCTTTAATAACCCTTATTTAATTAAAAACCGTTGATCGTTATCAAATCAATTAAAGCTTTGTGCAAAGTTATGTCTTCAAGGCCTATTTTTGTCGATAATGTATCGACAAAATTTATAGAACCACATAACAATTTAGAATGTTTCTGTTTTGCAGCCTTTGATCCATATGTCCATCCTTTGACTTAATTAATACCATGTAATTTTTTACAGATTCGCAGCCGTCTTCAACTGCCCATTCATATGGTCGTCTTCCATGGACCCCCATGGGTTAGTCTTAGAACTGATCGACGAGCACCCAAACCCGGCCTACACAACCAACCACGTATCATCTTTTGAGGCACCCTTCACCTTTTTACAGCGGGTCGAAGAACTGTGGGGAATTATTTACATGAAGTATGTAAAATGGTATGTAATAGTGCTCTTGAATTTTGATCCTATTTTATAGGTACAATGTAACCTGAAGACTTGGGACTGATTTATAAGAGGTTCATTATAATACCCATGCCGGGACTTTTTGTTTGTCTGCTGATCGCGATTTACCGAAGATATTGTTTATGTACAGAAGACGGCACGTTAAGCTAAATACTGTGGGATCTTATTATCTTGTATTTACGGGCGATATTGCAACAAAAATGTATGGTCTAACGTGCTGTCATCTGTAGGTACATATTATGAAGATAAGTAGATAACTATGTATGCAGATAGGTATTGTACTGTCTAAAAATGAGCTATCGCAAGTAAAAATACGGAACCCTAACTAGTTAAAATAAATTCCAACGGTCTCATCCATACACGTCACAAGTCTTATTTTTTAATGGATTTTGATAACAATTTGAAGCTTTATGACGAAATATTTTAGCATGTGAATGCTCTGCTCTGCTAATCGCCAGGTCAGGTCGTTAACGTTACGATAAGTTTAATTATCTGGGTCATAAAGGAAGTAGTCGCTTGTTCATTTTTTATCAATTAGTAGACGAGCTAATCAGCAATACAGTCTGGGCATATTTTCATGACGAGTCAGAAAAGAATGGACTTTGAGCTGGAGATACTTACTGGAATTATATTTTTTACCCCTAATACGCTTCAATGCAGGAATTACATATCATTTTCATCATGACGAGGTCATTTTACTCTGTACTGCAGAATCACGATTCTTTCTAATTCGAATGAAGGAGGCTATAATGAAGGATTTCCTGCTGGGTTGGGGAGGCAACGCAGGAGTGCCAATTAAAATATTGCCCTACTCCTCTGCCTGAAGACGGAGAGTCAAAACAAATTTCATGAAAGCTGCTTCTCATAGTTTACTTAGATACGTGATCAAGCTACAAGACAAGAATATTCTTTTTCCGCCTATGCTATTTTCACAATACCTATAGGTAACATTTAACAAGCAGTTACTATCTAACGCCTACTTGAAATGATTGATAATTTGATAGACAGTAACAAGTACTTATTCTTATGCTAATGTACCTACTCTAATTATGATGACATAATAAAACTGATAATAATTAAAAGAATGAACACGTGCTTAATTAGAAACAAATAGAAATGTTTTCTAGAAAATTCAGAAAAAGTAGAGTTTTGGAATAAATTGAAATTTTATACAGGGTGTTAGGTAAATGGGTATATGAGCCGACACTAGCCCATGTTAACATGGGCATATAAATGGTACGGCGAAGTCAGAAATTTGATATCACCATTTATTTATTTTTTAATTTTCATACAAAATAAATTTTATAAAATCCGATTTGTATGAAAAATAAATTAATTAAAATGAAGATATAAATTTTCGGACTTCACCATACCATTTATATGCCCATGTTAACATGGGCTAGTGTCGGCTCATATACCCATTTACCTAACACCCTGTAGATAAAGTCTACTTTCTTAACCCTTACACGCTTATAACTATTCCAAACCATAAAATTCTTTTTTCTTTAGTTATATCTATTTATTTTAGTCTAATTTAACATAAAAGTAGTACAGAAAATATAAGTGCTATGTATTTCAGTGTTTTTCAGTCGGGGACACATATGTCCCTATATGCGTTAAGGTATACATTCCCTCATATATTGAAAATAAAATACTTCGACATCAAATTTAATCAATAAGCTTATTTTTAATATTTATAATAAGAAATTTAAAATAGATAGCATCATATCTAACGTATTTTTATATTTGATCCTCATCTCATCATAGACTTCTTTCTTGAAGTTAGACCTACCTAACTAAACTGTTTGTTTCAAGAACAACTTTGAGTGTAGAGTCTCCAGCGTGCAGAGGAGTGCGTGTAACACGGATATTTGACATAATTGTTTCGTGTTGTCCATGTTTATTTTGAATCCCATTTATTGAAAGCCTGTACTGAGGCCATAGAGCATTGATTCTAGGTCTTCCAAGGTCTCAGCCGTGCCGTGACTACAACGTTGAATCTTACTTGGGGGGACAACATCCGAGAGGTTTCGCGACATCTTTTTACCCAAAATACCGCAGTGTCTCAGGACCTTTGACTGAAAGTCTTTGACCAATGTGTGTTGGCTTGGCGGCGATGACGCACGGAACGGAGACGTGTTCCTTCACTATGGGCCTTATGAGAAGGCTCAAAGTCACCCAAAGGGTAATGAGGAAGTCCGCAGGAGACTCAAAGTAACAGACATAGCTCGCATAATTACCAAACTATCGCGGCAATGGGCAGGGCACATAGCTCGCAGAAGTGATGGCCGTTTGGCAGAAAATTTCTCAAGTGGCGCCCACGTATAGGAAGACGCAGTGTGGCAGGCCTCATGTTCCTGTGCTGCTCATGTACATTCATGTATACGAGCAGCACAGGAACGATTGTTGTGAAAATCCCCAGGAAAGCCTCTGTCCAGCAGTAGACACCCTTTCATCAGGGAGGAAACCATCCTCGTTGTCACTATTTTCAGTCATTATGACTTCTAAAATTCGTCTTTCCTGAGCGAAATTTCTTCAAGTCGATTTGAAGACAAATGATTTACAAAAAATATGTATGAATTATAAATAAAACATCAATATAAACATACAAATTATAACGAGGCAAACAATATCCTTAGTAAGAACCAAGTTGCCTTTGACGCACATAGGG